CATCCGTTGATGAACCAAGTGCATTCTCCAGGTGCTCGGCTAAAAGTTTTCCAACACTTTCAACCCATTTGACAGCTGCGCCGACTTTTGTAAGTATTTTTTCAAATATTGAGGCTGGAAATGTAACATCAATATGTGAATTATTAGTTGAAGATATTCCAGTGGTAGATGAAATATTGTTTCCATTTGTATATAAAGAGGAACCATTAATACTACTAATACTATTTGACCGTGATATGGATTTTGAACGCATGGGTGTAGGTATTCCTGTAAAAGGCGTGTTATTAGTTAAAAGAGGTAATATATTTTCCCATGCAAACTTAATATCTACTATGGCACCATGAAATATTAATAAAAGTGTACGTGAATATCGCAAGTTATCTGATGATTGTGTTAAAGTTTTGATACGCTTGTTAAATAAATCTAAAAGAATTTTAAAATTCGTTATATTTTCTTGACATGATCCGAGCAATTTAATGAAATGATTAGCATCAGGTGCAGCTTTTTGTGAAAATATATCAAATTTTTGTAGCGCCATGCTCAATTGACTTATTGATGCGTTAGTTTTATTAAGTTCTGCAAAAAATATTCTTTCATTGCCGGTAAAAGAGATGAATTGACACATTGCTTTATGTACTTGAGACAACGCGTATAAAATATTTCGACTAGCCTCTCTTAATGATAAACCACTCATTGGGAGATGATCGGTTAGGGGAAGTGTTCTAAGTTTTTGAAAGTAAACATCACTGCTATGCTCTTCTAAAATCTCATTTTGGCTGCCATGTGAACTTATTGAATCGTGTGAATAACTTTTCGAATGAGTCCGAACAAATGTACTCCGAAGGCTCTTAGATACAGAATCAAAATCACCACTGTAACTCCTTTCACGACGTGTTATCGGAAAATCCAAACTTAACTTAGAATTTAGTCGTTTCTTTTCAAGTTTTAATAATACCTGTTCACTTTCAGTTTTGGTTATTAAATTTTGAGAATTATGAGTTGAATGAAAGTACGTGTCAATTGAAGTAGCTTTCTTTAATGATTTGCTACGTGTTATTATATCTCTCTCACTTTCATCTTCACTACTACTATGCAAATATTCGTGTATATATATCTATTAGCTTATGAAAACTAATTTAAAGTCGTATTATTATTATTTATTATGTGACAAACCTGCTTTTATCACTTTCTTCAACAGAATTTCGTACAACTGCATAATATAGAATATATTTAGAGATTATTGAAAAAAATTTAAAAAATTAAAAATAAACAGCTTGCCTGCATGCTGCTTTAAGTATTCCTTTAATTTGGTTAGCCAAGGTTCCATTATTTCTTTATCTTCTCCTTTTGGCATAATATGAATGGTTTTTGGAGGAAATTGAATTGGGTTATTATCTATATTTAAATATTGTAGTTCCTTCATATCTGCGATATAAGTAGGAAGCTTCTTTATAAGGTTTCTGGATATCTTTAATAGCTGAAAGTTTTATAAGTAGATTAGGTTTACTATTTATGACCGGGTTAAATGTTACACATCAAATTCTACTTTTGCATAATCACAATTCCACGTCCGTTAGAGCTTGGTCGCTACCGATGTATTGTAAAACCAAAATTATCATTTGAAGTCTTATATTAAGAAACTTGCCAAATGTTATATATTGATCATTGAATCCACATTACATCAAATAGCGACAGAGCTTCAACGTACGTAATATTGAATTCCAATGGTTTATAAGTCGACATAACGTATGAAAAAGATAATAGCATACAAGAATAAACTTAAATTAGTCAACCTTCAATGACATCAATTTTCCAAAATCCTTTGGTAATTTCTTAATTTTATTCTTGCTAATATCTAATATTTCCAATCTTGGAAGTAAACATAGCTGCAAGACAAATATTTAATATGAAGACATTAATATTGTTATTTAGTAAATGGAATAAAGTATACTAATTGCAATTACCGCTTCAGGAAATTTTCTGAACTCATTGTTAGAAATATTTAAATATCTTAAATATGGTAGGTTACAAATTTCTGTAGGAATTTTCGATAAACGATTTGTTTCAAGCCCAAGCCTATATAAAAGAAAACAAATTAAATTTGCTACAAATAATAATAATACTAAGTTTCATTTTATTCTCTCGTTAAATATCTTTCAAGTGCAAAATTCGTAAAAAAAAAAAAAAAAAAAAAAAAAAAAACCTTTCAACTTTATAATTATTTGAAGTTGCCAAA